GTACTCTGAATTCTTAATAAAAATTCAGGATCTGTAATTAATAAATACTAAACGCTTCAAATACATAGGTGTATGGATCAGTTAAAACAAAGTTAATTTGAGAGATAAGGAAATTGAACATAAAATAGGTTGTGCTAGGGATAGTTTCGCCCAACACCGCAAACTGCTACAAAACTAAAATATTCACCTGAAAACTCGAGTCATGTTCTTAAATAGTCTCGCCAGATTGACATTTTCATTTAGATGTCATGCATGGCACCAAACTAGTCCAGAAATATTTAAATTGTCGGCTATCTAAAACTGCTTTCTCAGGTCGATGGTCCAAAATGGCTTCGAGCGAGTGAAACGTGTAGGTCTTAACGACGGTCATACTGCATCGAACCTTGTGGACAGGCGTTACAGAAACACAAACCAAGAACTGTACCAGATAACAAAAAAACACACATAACTTGAGGACTTTCAACAGCAGCAACAACTAAAATGGATAGCACATGTAATTTGAAGTGAGAATATCATAATATCAAGATACTGAAGTTGTTCTTGATATATAACAATTTATATATCGTTATTCAATTACTCAGTTATATAAAAAAAAATATAAAATATGGCCTTGTTGTAATTCATTCCATTTCCTTATACCTGACGTTTAATGTGTGAAATATTCTTGCCATTGTTTTTAGTCTAAAAAGTACCAGTGCCATAATAAGATAATCCTTTCCAAGACAGAAACAATGATATGGAATTGGAATGAAAGCTGTGATGACGCTTAAACTGAATCCCTCAAAAAAAAATCCAATATGTGGAATTAGTAAATATTAAACGCTTCAATAACATCGGTGTATGGATCAGTTAAAACAAATTTAGTTTGAGAGATAAGGAAATTGAACATAAAATAAGTTGTTCTAGATGGAGTTTCGCCCAACTGCAAACCGAAAACTAGACTCAAATTAAATAGTCTCATCAGATTGGGACTTTCATATGGATGTCATGCATGGCGCGAAACATATTCGAAAATATCTAAACTGTCGGCTGTATACACCCGCTTTCTCAGATCGATGGTCAAAAATGGTTTCGAGCGAGTGAAACCTGTCGGTCTTGGCGTGAACCATTCTTCTTTGAACGACATGGAACGGCGCTATAGAATCAAAAAGAGTAACAGATAACAGAATCCATATCACTGGATGACTTCCAACAGCAGCAACAGCTAAAAGGGGGTAGAACATATAACTCGAAGAGAAAATAATGACATAATCAAGATGTTGACATTCCACACTACTTCAAACAAAAGGTTAGCAAGGAAATTCCAACCAGTAATGGAAAGAGTAATAACAGCTAAAATAGATAACACATGTAACTCAAAGAGAAAATAATGACATAATCAAGATGCTAATGTTCCATAATATTAACATTATTTACATTGTTCGGACTGTTTCCCTCATTTTTATTATCATGTTCACGACGTTTCGACCGTTGTACGCTCCAGCCTTCTTCCGATTGGGATTTCGAACTGAACATTTCGTTTCGTGCATCGGGGGTAGAATTATTCTATTTCCACGTACCATCCCTCTTCCGAATGTCTCGGTTATCTCCCTTTAACTCAACTCTCTAAGTTTTTTTTTTTTGTTCACCACTGCTGTAGACAGATATTGTCGCTCAAACAAAACGCAAGGAAGGACCCCCCATCAATACTGGTAAGAGCAATAAGAGTTACTGAACTTGAGAAATCTATTTTCCTGAAAAATTGTATTAAGGGAAAATTTTTATAAATTTCAAACGACAGCCACACTGACTGTTCGGACAAGGAATGCATAATGTTTCCTTATAAGGAAACATCTATTATTACCCTGAGAGATGTCAGTCAGTTAAGTGCTATACGTGATACACACTTAGGCGATCAAGTCTCTTTCCCGCAACCAACATCGATATTCCACTAGATCTACCACTTTGATGCGATGAGGAAGGTGCTGCTGCAGAGTTAGGATACCCGGAAAGCAAGCATTCTGCATTTATTTGTTGTGAATGTCTGAAGCCAGAAACAAAATTGAAATACAAAATGCAGCTTATCCACCCGAAGACAGATACTACACTTTGACCCCAGACCGATGGACAGGGTGTGAAGAAAAGCGTATTTCGAATACCACGCGCTACTCGGTCAATGAATGACTAATGCGTTTAAGGAAACGGTTAATATTAATATTAGAAGAGACGAGTACAGATACCACACTTTGACCCCAGGTTGATGGCCCAAGTTTTGAAAAACGCGTAATTCGAGTAGGAATGTCTGCTCTGTCAATGTTTAATTTTAGAGAAACAGCTAATATTATCATTGCCGTTAGAGATGAAAGGAACAGATACTACACTTTGACCCCAGCCCGATGGCCAAGATTTTGAGAAACGCGTAATTCAAGTAGTACTGTCTGCTCGGTCAATGTCGAGTGTCGAGTGGAAACAGCTAATTACTGTTAGAAATAAGGGGAACAGATACTACACTCTGCTCTTAGTGCAGAAAAGCGGAAATCGAGTAACACTGGCTGCCTTGTTTTTGAATGCCGAATAAGGAAACCGCTAATACTACCATTTCCATTAGGGGATTTACTTTCTCGTTAACGAACAATGGCTACAATAGCGACCATCATCAACAAAGAGAGAAAACCAAACGCGCTAATTTTCTGGGTTTTACTGTAATGACTGGGCTATATCAGCAAGTCTAATTTTTCTCAGTTCAAACTCTAAACTGGGTCGATTCTCCCAGACTGTTAGTTTTTTAATGTGTGTCGTCACTCGCACCTCTGAGAGAAAACTTGTTTTACAGTCCGCAGAAGTAAGCGATCATCACTTACGGAGCAGGGTAAGCGTAGGGGGTGGTGTGGATGGATAGTGGCAAGGGGCGTGACGCGGCATGCAATAAAGAGTAGGCTAATCTAAGGAGAAGAAGATGAAAGTAATAAAAACACGTCAGGTGAGAAAAGAAATACCTGGGTGCAAAAAAGAGGAAACATTTATTGTAATATTAAGACGAAAACTGGCGCCATTGGCGAGCGAAGAAACTAAGGTCTTTGCCAAGAACAACCGAGTCACACTAGTAGAGATAGAGAACTTTTGTTGTTCGAGTAAAGTTCCCCAGGTGTTGCTAAAAATATTATAAAGTAATATTTATTTGATTTTGATATGAACTTGATGCTATATGACACACTCATACACACACATATATACATATTAACATTGTTATAGATACATATACACACATACACATTATAATTATATTACAGAGATATATATAATTATACACACAGACACATATAAACATACGGATACAAACACACGCACAAATATATATCGAATTATGCACACACATATATATATATATATATATATATATATATATATATATATATACACAAAATCATACACATATATGACTTCAGGATGGCAAATATAATACTGTTTAATTAAAAACGGAGCATTTACTTAAATTAATTATATCTATAAAATAAAGGATAAAACAGAAAATATATTAAATATACATATATTGTATAGATATATATATATATATATATATATATATATATATATATATATATATATATATACAATCACACAATCATACACACACATATGCATATATATATATACATACACAATCACACAATCATACACACACATATGCATATATATATATATACAAACACACAATCATACACACACATATGAATATATATATATACAAACACACAATCATACACACACATATGCATATATATATATACAAACACACAATCATACACACACATATGCATATATATATATACAAACACACAATCATACACACACATATGCATATATATATATATACAAACACACAATCATACACACACATATGCATATATATATATATACAAACACACAATCATACACACACATATGCATATATATATATATACAAACACACAATCATACACACACATATGCATATATATATATATATATATATAAACACACAATCATACACACACATATGCATATATATATATATATACAAACACACAATCATACACACACATATGCATATATATATATACAAACACACAATCATACACACACATATGCATATATATATATATATATACAAACACACAATCATACACACACATATACATATATATATATACAAACACACAATCATACACACACATATGCATATATATATATATATACAAACACACAATCATACACACACATATGCATATATATATATACAAACACACAATCATACACACACATATGCATATATATATATACAAACACACAATCATACACACACATATGCATATATATATATATATATACACACACACACAAACATAATCATACACACATGCATCTATATACATAATTATACATATGCACGCACATATATACATGCACATATATACATATACCCACATACGTATGCACATACACACATATTCACAAACACACAACAATTATTGTCTTTTTTTACAAAAAGAAAAAGTCAAGTGAGGCATTTCTGGAAGATAACTATTTTTTTAATACAAGCTGGACTGGAACGGAACTTGGCTCTCCGATTTCCAATTCCAAGCTGTCATCCATTACACCACCCGCACATCCAAACTTACAGCACCTAGTATTCCCAAGCGGTCACCCATCAGACTCGACGTTGATTAATCTTCTTAACTTTGGTAATTGTAAGGGGAAACGGTGTTTCGACGTGATATGGCCGCAAGCCTTTTATATGTGTAATATAGATACATTTCTAATAATTTCGCTGGAGCAATAAATTGTTTATCGCTCTGACTGAGCATGAGTTTCTATTATACAAATCTCGTACCTCTGTTCAAACAGGTTCACTGGAAGGTCACGAGGTTAGCGCATGGGTCAGGAGATTACAATCTCAAGAACGTGCCCTTAGAGAAAGATTCTACATTCCAAACGATAAGGCTGATTCTTGTGCAAAGACACGTTCACAGAAAATCAAGGCGTACGGCCACATCACACTGAAACACCGGTTCGCGTACGTTCACCGAAGTTAAGCAACGTTGAGTTCAGTACTTAGATGGGTGACTGCTTGGGAATATCAGGTGCTGTAATCTTGGATGTGCGAGTGGTGTAATGGATAATGCCTCGGAATTGTGAATCGTAGAGGTGAATTCCAATTTCAGTTGGGTCCGTTATACACACTTACGCGCAATTACCCTTGGGAAATGTATGGATATATCTCCCCCCCCCAGCTATGAGTTAATAAAATTTGTGATGCTAAGCAATTATTATTTCCCCATCCCAAAATATTTACACTCTAAAATATTATTTTCTTGCTTCAAAAGAACCTGCAAAGGGTTGATAAGTCGTAAAAATCGAATCAACCAATGCATTAACAGAAAATCAACTAACATCTTTTCATACAAAAACTTTATTGTAAACATATCTGTGAAGCTAAGACAGGAATAAACACGAAGACAGTCAATCATCAAATGACAAAAAAAATGGTTTCTGAGTCGGATGATCTGCGCATCCTTCCGGTTAATAAATTGATCTTTTGAAAATAAAGATTTAACATTTTTTAACCAAAAAAAAAAAAAAAAAAAAAAAAATGCTCCGTGACCCCTTTGAAGAGTATTTAAGCAATGTCTGCAGGCGAACAAAACCAGTAAGAAGAGAGACGAATGCATGCGACATCAGTTCACGATACAGCTCAGCTTCATAAGAGATTCCCTTGCTCATTTACCCGTCTTCCTCACCAAGCTACGTGATACTTACTCTTACTCGGTGAGCTTCGTAACATTTACACACTTCTTCACTTCCTCCCTTGCCTCTTTTTCTCACACGTACATAAGAAATCACATTTCTTTACATCTTAAATATCTACAAACAAGAAACTTTAATACTCACACACGCTGAGAAAAATTTAATTGTAAAAACACAAAAATAAAAATATATTTTATATTTAAAAACCTTTCTCACCTTTTTTTTGTTGTGGATTGATTCAAATCTCCAACAATATAAATAAATTGTCATATTAAATTTTACCACAATGAATGCAAGTTAATTAACCGTGTTATGACTAGGATTAATTACTATAAATATTACATTCCAGTAAAATATTAAGCAGAAATTTCTTCCAAATTTAATGACAATTCGGCGCCATACTCTGAAACTTTGCTATCAACGCATCCATAGAAGAAGGTATGAAAATAGAGATTTTGTATCAAGAAAACTTGTGGCGCCATTATAAAAAAAACTAGCAGCGTTGCCCGTGCTTGATTCAAAAATCGTACGACTCATACAGCAATCGCTATCACTTGACTTAAAATATTTTTGCCCTTCCTTGCTTTTAAAGTAGTGCCCTTTGCCGTGCTGATGTTGCTATATGCCTTACTTCTTGCCTATCTCATACTGCGCATTTTTTCTAAGCTGTATATTAAACATTAAATCTGTTACGAAAAAAGAACTAAACAAAATGAACACAAAACGATCAGCTTTAAAAAAGGACTCGTAAATGGAAAAACCGAATGAAAAAAGAATGTTAACAACAAATACTTTTTCACAACCAACCCAGTTCTGCGGAATCAGAATCAACGAATGAGCCAATTGGAGTAAAGTGCCATGCAGATTTAAATTTTTCCTACTTCTGACGAATGCAGCTATCGATTTCTTTTAGTATGCTTGCATGCTAGTTAATATTCGTGTCAGTCAGCTGTTGGCCCTCACGCTGGCCAATAGAATCTTCCTGCCTATTCGTGGCAGCCAGCTATAGGCTCTCACTCTGGCTAGCACAAAATAGCCGCAAACTATATGAAAACTGCCGTAGAAGCATGAAAAATCGATTATTTCCACTATCGATGGGGGTTGGGAAATGCAAAGTCGGTCTTGACCTTTCTGCTAACTTGGAGCATGTGCATGTAAATTTTGGTGCAAATCCGTCAAAAATTGCGGCTGTGCATTCATTACACACACACACATCCTGCCTTTTATAGAGATTATAGTGGATACAGAGTTGTCTTCCCCTACTTTACACCTACACATTGTACCAGCCAATCAGAAGCCAGCTTCTGTTGGCGTCAAAATGAGCAATTTTAAACCATTCTTTTTTGCTGTTTTGACATTCTCCTGTAAAGAGGTGTTAACCAGACCCCAAGGCCGTCTGGTCGACGTATAGGCATTGAATCAAGTTGAACGGACTTTTCCTTTTAAGATAAGTTGGAACCCTCAAATTCAATCATAGTTTCCAACAGCTCCTTTCTCTTCTTTATATATGTTTGTTGTCTATAAACCTCGTAATTAATTACCCTCGTGTTTTGTTCGTCGTTATTGTTGGTTAAATTATCTCACTTGTGTAAATCAATCCATTTACATGTGGAATTAAAACAGCATCGCTGTTAACAAAAATGGCACAATCAGATTTTTTGTTGTTCTCAAAAGTGAAAGAGCCGTTTATTTTTGGGTAGTAGCATGCGGAAGAGAAGAGGTAGAGGGTGAGACGGCCCCTGGCATCCATATCAGGAGGGTATCCAATTAAGGAGTGAAATAAAAAAATTAGTTTTTGAAATTTTAAATCGTCTCTGTTAACTTCGTTATACAAGCACCCTACAATCCTACAAGCTTGTGTGAATAATGAATCCGTGTTTTGATAAGCGAAACCGGAGTAGCACCCCCCCCCACTACTCGAGTCCTAGGGGCATATATTATGGAATTAGCCCCGGCCATCACCAAACTACTGCACGTCACTGTACTTTGGTTACATGCGGATTGAACTTAAAATTTCGTTAGAAACAAAGAGTACTGAAATGTTGCGTCATATCTGTTCTCCTATATGGCAACGGATGATGGGCCATCACCTCAAAAATGAAGATAATACTTGAAGCAACAGAACTGTGGTTCAACAGAAAGATGCTGAGGATACCATGGATCGAATATGTGAGCAATGACGAAGCTTTAGAGAAAATGAAAACAAAATGGAAACTTGTACTTAACATCAGGGAGAGAAATTTGAGCTTTCTAGAGCACATAATGAGGAAGGAGGGCTTGTAAAAACTGATACTCACAGGACAGACTGAAGGCAATATGGAAAGAGGAAAACAACGTATAACCTACTTGGTGAGCTTGTGTAAATGAATAACGGGACAAGGTTTTGGAGAAATAACGAAAAGACAACATTTATTAAGAGCTACGAAGGACAGGAAAAGGTGGAGAGCTATGATCGCCTACGTCTTGAAGGGAGACTGCATATAAAGAAGATGAAGCTATCCACGTTGTTGAATGAGAGCTTTACCACATTCGGCTATTCTGACGTTGGTAGGTGGTTGTGGTGCCATTCAGGACCGATGTAAAGCCCCCCCCCCACTCTACTACATCTCAATTTTCCTAAGGTAGTATTCATATTGTTGTAGCATACCTACGGACAATAATGGGTATGCCCCCATTCACATAAATAGAGTAGTAAATACTGTATGTTGGTCTGCAGTTGGAGATTCGTCTCCAGCTGTGCTGGTCAAACTCTCTGCCTCCGGACAGAGACTTGTCTCGGGGAAACAGCTACTCGACCCCGTTTTATACGGAATCTATAGGGAATTTTTGGCCGAGTCTACGGGCTCGGATACCCCACATTAAATTCGGCCTTGTACCACATCTGACTGCGTGGGGCGGTTGGTAGATATCCTGTAGTAGCAGATTCCTTATGGAATTCACTTGACTCACTTCTAGCAGTTTACTACTTCTACTCACCGCTGGCGAATCTTATATCTGTTGTTCTTGTCCTTAGTATTATCGTGCATTACCAATCATCGTGTGATTATTCTATTCAGTAACCTTCCTTAGGTTACAACACATATGAAATACAATTTTTTGTAACCTAATTATGTACAATAATGGATCATATACAATATAGGTGACCAATTCAACTAGAAAAATTAAAAATAAATAAAATGTATCTAAATACAAATTAGAAACAACAGTGTTTTACAGCAATTTTTAACATCAATATTATGGATAAAAAAATAGTGAATTTTACATAGTGTTTGATTTTTTGATTTTCTTTTTTTTTTTTTTTTAGTCTTAGTATGAGCAAAACAAATTTACAGATTTCGATTAAAAAAAAAAAAAAAAAGAAAGAAAAATTATCCCCCAAAAATGACCCCAGAATCCAAAATTTTTTCATCCTTTAATAGTTGCGCTTATTTTAAATTGTAACATATATAAATGTATGTAGAAAAAAGGCAAAGATATATCAATAGTAGTCATGACCAGTGCAAGGGTTTTTGCTCCCCGCTGCACTACATCTCAATTTTCATGAGGTACTATTCATATAAGGTACAAATTTTATTGTAACCTAATTATATACAATAATTGATCATATGCAATATAAGTGAACAATTCAACTAGAAAAATTGAAAATAAATACAATATATCTAAATACAAATTAGAGACATGTTATAATAGATCATTCATCTTAAATAAATCAACAATGTTTTGAAGCAATTTTTAACATCAACTTGAGATTTTTCTTGATAAAAAGTTGAATAATTTTAACATATTCAACATTTTGGATAAGAAATAGTGAATTTTGTTTTTTTTTTCTTTCTTTTAGACTTAGCAGGAACAAAAATTCACGGATTTGGATCGTCCTGAGTATGACGATAAACTACATCTGGCAGCAAGGTCTCTGATCGTGTGATTGTTGGTTTTGAGGAACATGGATCCGCCTCTTAACTGCTATTATTCCCAGGTCCACCCTGTCCCGAGGTGGTAGCACCTGTTAGGTCCCCAGCTATGGACAAAATAGTTAACCCCCAACCAAAAATCAACAGTACATTTATATCATAAAATGACCAAAAATACAATTTTATAGCAAAGTGACAATTAATGTAACACTAAAAAAATATAATATACATTTTATAGTCAAATTACCAATAACACATTTTATGATATACAAACTAGATATGTAAAATAACATACCTTTACTCTGGAAGTATAAAATTACGTACAAAAAATTTAAATTTCAGCATTAAATAACACATAGCGGCTGATATACAGCTTAACAAAATCAACCAACCAAATCAACGAATTTGGACAAAAAAAAGACCCCAGAATGAAAA